ATTTCATACCAATTGTTAAACCTTTGTTTTTAATACTGAATTTGACTACGGCTCATTCGTCTACCTGATCAAATCATAGGGCGCACAGCGGGTGTGACCGGTCGACAGGAGATGCATACTCCTCCTACGCAACTGATCTCACCTCTGGAACTTCAAAAGTCCCATGTCTTATGGTCTGTTCACAGATTAGTATTGTTTATGGATGATTTGGAGATCTATCCCTTTTCACCTATTCATATAAGGGTTACGAGCAGTGCTCATAAGTCCATTCAAACAACACAAACTGTGACCAAAACGGCCCACTGAAATCAGAGGAGATATTGTCTCATTTGGAGAGTATAAGCATACCCTGTCGACCTGCAACACCGACCGTGTGCCCCTTGATCGGCCTAACAATTTTGTATGAAAGATAATCGACATTCGATCTAACGAAAAAATTGCATTAGCAAATAACATAAATATACCATAGGATTTGCGAAATACTGACTTTACACGAGATAGTTGAAATCCTTGTATCATCAATTTTCTGTCAAATCCTGTCTCATTTTAGAAATCGTTCGTACATAGAACATGCTCTTGAGAATCGAATCAAGTTGGTGATATAATCAGGTGATAATGATGCATTGTATGAAAAGTTGAAGTCATAACATTTATCATAAAGTTTAAATGTTAGTTTACCATCAATGTCTTTCTCTAGTAAAATATCCAAATATGAAACATATGTGTTTCTGAGAAGTCTCTTATTTCCATTTTAATGGGATATAATAATCAAATCAATGTATGAATGAAAATGAATATTGATAATTAATAAACTCTCAGATATATCTAAATGTCGAATTAAAGGCCACAGCAAGATACCTTTTTTAAAAATTAATCCTGCTAAATACGAGCACAAAAACAGGTCTGCTAATAATGGGCACAATTAGTACCCATGGGAATTTCAACAGATTGTTGGAAGACCTGGTCTCCAAAAACTACATATTCTAAATAACAAACCAAAGCATCATTTAAATATCAATATGGAGTACTTGTGCGTATACCCGTGATCAGATTTTTTTTTAAAACAAAATAAGTTTGCAGACGACCAGTGACAAGGTATGCAAATTTACGAGTTCCATTTATATTAAAGAAACAGTTGTCATTAAGTCATATGCTGAGTTACGTTTTTCATAACAATTGATAGGCCATTATTTACAACTGAATTGTCGACGGATTTTTCCGTTATTTACCGATCATGACAAGGAGCACAGGGCTGGTGTGATGCTCGCTCCTCCATGGCACCTGATCCCGCCTCTGATGTTTTTGGAGGCCCGTGTTTGCTCTGCTCCCGGTTTATATTGTTTTAATGGACTTTGAGCTGGAATTCTGTTCGTTATCTCCATATTAATTTAATTTATCTTGCGGAATGGTTGCATGAAGTGTTGAATAGTCGTAGGTTTTATGCTATTGTGTTTGATAAAATTTTGTGATTTCAAATTTTCTTAAAGTTCCTTGGAGTGTTTAAATATCCATCTTTATATAACATTTCGAATATGTTTTGTAAAATACTCATGAAGTTTCTCTTTCTCTGCTGTGAATATTTTTATGAAGAGAAAAGAAAGAGGCTTGAAAATAACGAACATTTATCATTCACAACAGTCCAACTATACATTACAAACATCGAGCAAACACAGACCTCTGAAAACACTAGAGATGAGGGCAGGTGCTATGGAGGAGTTAGCCTGTCCAGTCCATGTCGTCCGGTCAACATGCACTCCAAAAGTAAAACTGACATCTACCAAAGGTTTCAAACTATGCTCACTGCAACACAGTAATGATGAATTAAAAATAATTTTTTAGTTTCATGTCGACTTACCCATTTTTACGAAAGTTATTCCAATTTAATTTGAAATTTTCTAAACATTCTCTGATTCCGGACTTTCAATTGCTGTGCTTGTGGATAGTGAGCTGAATGGTACCTCTATATTGATGGTCTACTAATCAGAGTATTACGTCGATTGACCCATTATCAAAAATGTTATTGTCCTCATACTAAGAAAATTGCTAATTATTCACAATGTTTTCCAGACTTTTTAAAGTACGTTAACTTTGTTGTTAACCACTTTTATGCAGCTAAAGTATGTTGTAATATGGACCCACAAAAGCAAAAGAAGCAATATGACTCTATTGCTGTTTGATTTTCTGTATAAAATGTTTGCGGGTGCAAGTGTCTCACATTAGTATATTTAATAACGTTTATGAAATGAATTAAAGGGGGAAAATAATTTTCGGTCTTAAAGGTTGCATACATTATTTCTTTTCAATCCAGCAAGTCAAAGTTATTTGAAACACAGAACACATTCAATATACATCTTGTTGTATGCAAATATGTTTGGAGTTTTATTTCACACTGATGAAATAGTAAAAGAGCAGTGAACTGTTGGGGTTGGATTGTGGTTAACTGTTGGAATTGCCTTCATAGTTACCAGATGATTTTGATTGGTAGGTACTGTTTGAATTGGATTGTGGTTAACTCCTTTTAAAATACATGTATTAAGATGTTTCACTGACTATAGACGATAAGGGCCAACTAACAACTACACTGTATTAAGAAAACTAGATGACTTTATCGTCAACTTTCCTAATTTATCTTGTAATATTCCGTTACCACCTTCACATGGTGTTTATGTCTCCCAACTTATTAGATACTCAAGAGCAATTTTTATACCGAGGCAGGCTACTGACAAATAAGTTGATATTACAGAGACGCATTAAAAGTCAGCATTTCGTAATTTCTATGATCTAGACCTTGTTAGCAAATACAACCTATCATGGGTCGTTATTTGACTGATATATTTCATACTTATTGTAAGGTCTTTGTTTTATACTAAATTTGACTACTGATTAATCTGAACCAATTTTAAAACAAAGTTAAAAAAACGGCACCAAGATATATCACTTTTAAGACTGAAATACCATTGGTAAATTTCTGCTTTTCAACATCTGTATGTCATCAGCACAAATTTAAAAGTTAAATCCAACAGTTCATAAAAACACTACTCTGGTTCATCGATCATGTGACGTAAATACACAACCAACTTAGATTAGTCGGCAGCCATTGTATACTGTCTTCCTGTCAGGTAATGTTTACATTACTTGAAAATTTGAATTTACTTGACATTTTAACTTAGTTAACAATGAATTTTGCTGTAGATTAGGCCTGCATTTTATCAGTAATAATTTTTTAAAAATGTTGAATTCTAAATACATTGAAAACCCACCAACAGAAAAAAAGTGTCAACTCGTAAAGCAGAGACATGCATGGAATTAGATTTATAAGTCTTTGAGTAAAGATACTAAATGGTTCTAAATGGCACTTCAAAAATGGGAACATTTGAACAAATAAATACCTTGATACTTAAATGACCTAAGTCTGAAAATCTCTCTTTTAAACTAAAACAAATGTTACATTATTACAGATCTATGGGAAGTCTAGACTAATTAAGAAATAAATAACATTTATTCAGTGAATCTCTATGATGTTATGAATAACAATTTTTCAGCTGGATGATTACGATTAGATTCTCGCTATCGTATGATCTTTGAAATTATTCCAGCAGAGCAAATGTTATTTATAGCGCCATGTTCACTGAATAGCGTTGTTTATTACATGTATTTATATTTCATTAGAATGACAGAGGAAAGGCTGATCGGGATATGCGCAGTGCTGCATGTCTTCATTAATAGCAAATCTGATGATAATCAGTTAGCATGACTAATCAATAACAACTAACTTTATTTCCAATGTGAATCACATACAGATTTTTTTATATCGATTTTCAAATGATTTTCACTCACTTCAAGTTTAAATAAAATATAAGATAAGATCTTTAAAGTGTGTGAAATGTTATTGTTTCTTCTAAGAGTAAAAATGTACGAAACCTGTATTCTATTTTAAATTACATGTATACATCTTCGTTCATGACTTACAATTAATTTAAAAAATATATTAAAAATAATTCTTAATCAACATTTTTAGTATTTATTATTCTTTTTGGGATTTTAACCTTCATTTCATTACATTTCCAAAAGTGAAATGGTGTAATTAATTCATTCAATTAAATTGATATTTTTACAGACGTCATATTTTCACTGTTAAAACATGGGAGTGTTATTTTTACAGTGTAAATATAAAATTATCAAACTTTGCTTCCCTTCACTAAGTGTTTAAATACTCCCTATTGACAGGATAGAGTGAATATACCATCCTGATACTGACTAAAACTGCTAAAGTTACGCGAATTTTGGTTAAAATCCATGTTAACAATTTTAATCTTAAAATGGCTTAGCTACACGTATCTCACAACAACGCTAGATAATGGTCGAAAAGGTTACCCCCCCCCCCCCCCATAAAAAAAAAAAGAAAAAAGAAAGTGTTAATGAACAGACTATTTAATGACTTTTTGTGGTTGGATATAGAGAAGTGAGACAGAATATTTATATTCTTCATTCCTACTTTGCAATCGTGAAAATAAACTTCAACATATTGAATTATCTTCAATTGTTCTTTCAAACAATAATATTGTTGTACATACACTCGTAAACAGCAATTATATTGTTTGACAGTCTTCTCATTGCGAAATCTTAAAATAAACTGTATCCAAGATGAGAGCAATTGCGTTTTAATGCAAACATAGGTACAGATTCATAGAGGGTTGTGAGAGAGTGTGAGAGAGCATATATAATATAATCTTATAGTAACAGTCGATGTGATGCTCTTCTGTGAGCTCAACTAGAAATGACAATCCACACTCTGGTCAAATATAAATGAATGTGTTTATAGTGGATTATACCTGCACTATAACTAAGTCATAACACAATAAATAATTCTACATTTTACAATCAATTTAAAAATTTTGTAAAAATATCATTGATTTTGTTTTTCTCCTTCTAAATTTCACATTGTATACTTTCAAAATCACCAGTTTCAGACTTAACATCAACCTATTTATACTTCAGAATCATACGTATAAGTATGGACACTGTTACCAGTGCCCCAGACGTGAGACAATGTGACCTGTGTGAGACTGTTGAGGTAGAGATACACTGTGATTCTTGCCTTGCCAATCTGTGTAAGTCTTGTGTTGGAGCACACATGATCACTGATGAATCCAAGGACCACAAACTCATCAAATTGCAGTCCAGGAAATCTACCCGCCTCTACCCTGAATGTAAATATCATAACAAACAACAATGCATAATGTACTGTAATCAATGTGAAATTCCTGTGTGTAAAATGTGCCTTGCATCTGATCAACATAGAAGTCATCAGGTATCAGAAATCTTGAAAGTTGTGAATGAAAAAAAGGATAAATTAATCAAAGAACGAAACGAATTAAATGAGACAGTTTATCCAAGCTACCAGGACATTGCCTCTGATGTACAACATAGAATGCGTCAGTTAGAAAAGGAATATGGAGATCTTTCTTCAGCAATAACAAAACATGGTAGGGCCTGGCACAGAGAAATTGAAAAACTTTTAATAAAACTTCAAGCTGAAGTTGATGAGATGAAAAATACACAGTTACAAACTCTACAAAAACATCTGGATGAAATAAACAAGAACATTTCTGACATTAAGAATGAAATCATATCAATTGAAAGGGCTATAGATGCCAATGACTTGTCGAAACTTTTTGATATCACATCCAATGCACATATATACAGTAATCTTCCACAAAAAATTTCTCCTTCTCTACCAAAATTCATTCCAGGAAAAATTCAAGGAGAAGAATTCAGTAAACTATTTGGAGCCCTATCACCAAGTTCTTTAACATCAGATGAATCCGGCTACAGCATGAAATTAACACATAAATCAACAGAAACTGGATCCTCTCCTCCAGTCAAACAGCTGCTTGACGAACCAGAAATTGTTACAAATATAGACACTGGGTATGAATACCTTATCAATGTGGCCTGTCTGAGTGACGAAGAAATCTGGACAAGGGGAAATGACAGCACCATGAAACTCTTCAACATCAATCAGGGATCACTACTCAAATCAATCAAAACCAAGTCAGGTAACATACCATGGGACATAGCAGTAACGAAAAGTGGAGCTCTAGTTTACACCGATGTCAGTGACAGAACTGTGAACATTGTGAAGAATAAGAAGATAGAGAACGTAATCAGACTCCATAACTGGACACCACGTGGTGTCTGTGGCACCTCCTCTGGTGACCTCCTGGTTACCATGTGTAGTCATGACGACAAACATTCAAAAATTGTTCGTTATTCCGGTTCCATAGAGAAACAAACTATTCAGTTTGATGATCAAGGAAAACCTCTCTATTCGCTTTACACATGTATAACTGAAAACAGGAATTTGGATATCTGTGTATCTGACAACAAAGTTAGAGCTGTAGTGGTGGTCAATAAGGCCGGGAAACTGAGATTCAAATATACTGGACATATTCCTGCTCCAAAGAACAAAGCATTCATTCCACTAGGAATCACCACAGACAGTCAGAGTCACATCCTTACTACTGATGATAACAATCACTGTGTCCACATTATAGATAAGGATGGACACTTCCTCCGTTACATAGACTGTGGTCTGCGTGAACCTGTGGGACTTTGTACAGATATAAATGATAATCTATTTGTTGCTCAATGGAGAAATAGACAAGTGAAGAAAATCAAATACCTGGTCAGATGTATCACTGTATAGATTAAATAATAATAATATAATGTACTGCTGACGTTTTTCATACCTTCATACCAATTGTTAGGAAATTATTTACACACTGACATTTCTAAGGATTTTTCCGTATACTCGATCATTACAAGGAGCACACGGCGGGTGTGACCGGTCGACAGGGAATGCCTACTCGTCTATGGCACTTGATCTCGCCTCTGATGTTTTTGACGGTCCAAAGTTGCTATGCTCCCGATTTGTATTGTTTAAATGGACTATGAGCTTGAATACTGTTCGTTATCTCCATATTTCATATTTTCTAGATGAAATTTACCATTACGTATATATCAGTTCATTGGTTGTACTTATGAAAATTTCTGAATTGCAAAACTGAGAATAAATTGCAGGTGAAGAAAATGAATATTCTCAGTGAAATCCACAACTGCATGTCATTTAGATTCTAAAATGATGTTAGCAGCTATAATTTATTTTTGAGTTTGTAGATACTTCATGTTCAATATTTGTGCATTTTGTAGCAAATATTTAACTGCATTACATTTTCACAGTCAAGAATGTCTGTGGCCCAAACAGTTTACTACCTTTCAAAATCTTCATTTTATTCATTATACATCCTTCTGTAACAGTTAACTTCAGTTAAAACCCTAAACCCAAAATTAAACGTAGTTAACCACTAGATAATTATATTAAATGAATATTTTTTTCTTTAATTCTTATAAAAACTGATTTTCTTTGATAAGTCAATTAATTTAAAACGACTTTTTGGTTTTTGAACCCTTCTGGTGAAAGATTTCTTCAGAAGAGAGCGTTTCTACAAATGTAACATATGAATAAATAAGACAATATTTTACGTGCTTTCATCCACTTTATGCATATGATTTATACACCCATAAATAATAACAATACAATAATTCTATAAGATGTAAACGCTTACTCAGGTTACTGCAATTTTTATTTGCAATGGTTGCAACCATTAGTCCCCATATATAATTTCAAAGAAATGATTAGGTAAACTCAAAACCCCCTCACTCATTTGATACAATTCAAGTCAGCATATTTTATCTGTTCAATTGAATAATTATCCCTTTCACAGGGTAAATATCCATCACTAATTCCTGAACATTACATCATTATAACAATTCAAGTATTCATACATTTTACAGAAAAGAATACAAAAACAAAGCTGAAATATCATACTTTAATGTCACTAAATCATGATTTCAATAAGATGGTCTCAATTTGACATTGTATTAAGAATACATAATACAAACAAAAACTTGATGCATGAATTGATATTTTTAACATTGTGACAAAACTTTAAAGATATTTCACTTGACATGGCAAACATTATTCGAGTTACCTATTTGAATGTAAATCTAATATGAGAAGTGTTAATTGCTGATTTCTGAAAAAAGTTTGTATTATTTATCCTTAATATACATTTTACTCCAGTAAGTCCAAACTCAAGCAAACCTGATCGCAATCTTTGTGCTTGTATTTTAGATAACCTTGATGTACTGCATTGTGTATATATATATATATATATATATATATATATATATATATATATATATATATATATATATATATATATTGTATGTATATGTAAACATATAAATCCTTCTCATAATTTTCTCTTATGTGAAGAACATGTGGTCATTCATTTGACGAACATGATCCCCTTAACAATTAAATTTTTGTTCCAAGTTTATTCCTTTGAACGCAATTAAAGTGAAATTTAAATTAAAATGCATATGCAAACAGAAAACATAGGACAAACTTTTATCAAAGAGGCTGGATTAACGTTTAACAAGGAATCCAAACTCCAGTAGTAACAGTTAATGCATCCCACGATTGTTACTAATTGGTTATTTAAGCTTATTTTCATTATGAACAACAATGCTGGAGGAACCATGCTGATACCAAATACAGCTATATAGAAGAAAAAACAGGACTATCTTGAGATTTTTTTTAACGAAATCAATAACAATTGTAGAAGAACTTTGTGTATTGTGAATCTTGACCCTGTATAATTAAAGATTTATGTAGGCAGTGTACAACTCATATAAAATTCAAGTTTAGATTAGCAATCGGAGTTGACCTTGTATTAGATGCAAGAATTAAACACTCTAATGCCCAAAATATGAACGTTTTACGTCTCTACTTCATTATGCGCGTAATCTCGATAAGAATGAACTTTGAATGTACTTTGTTAATGAATTGCATCCAAGGTTTTCAGTCATAATGAAAAGGTGGAGAAAAGGAACAGCGATCGATCTTCAAAAAATAAAATACAAACAATTAAGATCTGTGAACAGGGCATAAAAGATGGACCCCTGGAAATTCCAGAGGTGGGATCAGGTGCCTAGGATGAGTAAGCATCCCCTTCGACCGGTCACATCCTCCGTGACCCCTGTGTTTAAACAAACTCTACAGTGCCTTGATAGATAATATCACGTAAAAAAAATCTCCTAACTATGCTTGTTCTTCTTTTATCTATAGTCCTGTTGGACTCATCATTACTGATGATGTAAATATAGCTTAAGATAACGACCAATAACAGCAATATTTTCAAAACGTCTAAAATTCAGAGTGCCTAGGACACAACGTCATTTCTATGATGAATTCCGTGGAAGAATATGCCAGATATTGAGCTAAAAACTCTAACAGAACGAATAGGTAGCTTTAGAAGCTATTGAAGAATCGTAACAGAAAATTAAAAGGCAAAATGAAGACCCCTATTCTTCAGTTTTCAGTAAACTGGAAGTGAGAAACAAAATAGAAAAGCTTCATGAACAGTACAGTATCAGCAGACAAAACTAATCATATCTCAGTTTTAAATATTTTTAATATTCCGAACAATCAAATTGAATTTGAACTACCATACCTATACTGGATTCCTAAACTACATACATAAAAAGCCTTATGATGAAAAATGAAGATAACGAACAGAAATCAAGCTCGAAAGACCATTGAAACAACACAAATTGGGACAGAGCAAACAAGGACCTCTAAAAACATCAAAGGCGGGATCAAGTGCCATGGAGGAGTAAGTATTCCCTGTTGACCGGTCACACCCGCCATGTGCTCTTCGTCATGATCGGGCAATTCATGGGCAAACGGAAAAAATCCGTAAACAATTCAGTGTGAAAATAATCATGATAATGGCCTAACAATCTGTTTATAAAACGTCAGTCAACGTTCGACTTAATGATAGATTGCATTTGCTGACAAGGTCATTGTATCGACCATAGAATTGGTGAATGATGACTTTAAAAGAGACTGTTGATATCCTTGTTTCATCAACTTATTTGTCAATAGCTTGTCTCGTTTTAGAAATTGTTTATACGTAGAGCATGCTCTTGCGTATCGAATCAAGTAAAAGACATAAACCCCATATGCAGCTGATAATGGTATATTGCTACATAAATAAGGGAAGTTGACGATTGAAAAGTTGAAATCATCATGTTTATCATAAAGTATTGTTGTTAGGTTACCATTAACGTCTTTTTCTAATAAAATATCCAAATATAAAGCATATGTGTCAGACTATGGTATCTTTTATTTCAAGTTAAAGGGATATATTGAATCAAAATTGGAATGAAAATGAATATTGTTAATTGATAAGACGTCGTTGATATATCGAAATGTTGAATTGAAGGCCACAGCAAGAGACTTCTTTTCATATGGAAGTTGTTGAATAAATTTTGCTTCATAACCTTATTTTTCTTAAATTTGCATTTAGCATAGATTCCAAAAAACTATTTAAGATACTTTTATGTTAGCTTATACATTGATACATAACTTACTGAGAGTTCACTGTGTACCACTTTTTTTTTTTTTTACTTTGTCTAGACCTTCCTATTGACAGCTGACTTTTACTATTTATTGTGAACTTCTTTATAAAACTCAGTTTTTAAGAAACTATTCAATATATATATATATATATATATATATATATATATATATATATATATATATATATATATATATATATATATATGCCAAAAAACCCACTTCTTTAATTACTATAAACAAATTTCATTACTGATTAAAAATAAACCAAGGAAATGACCAAAAATGAGTACTTCTTTGAGAAACAGGAGTTCTTAGAAAAATAAGTCTGTTACAACTCTTCTTAACAGATGTCAGCTATACTTGAATAAAGGATCATCCCTGCTTTGTGATTAAAGAGTTATTTTTCAGTTCAAGGAGTTAATGTTTGATATCTAATATCCGAATTGAATGATATCAAAACAATTACTGTTGATTAGAATTATTTAATTGAGTAAACTAACTACATTTGCAAGCTTTGAAATAAATATGACATCATATAAATTCAAAATGGAGAAATAATAATAAAATTAATTTAACAATAACAGAGAAAACAGAGTTTTAAAATAATGTACATCTTAACATTTAATAACTGAAGGATAGGTTACATACTAAAAACACAACTGGGCAAAAAAAAAAGGTGCCTCTGTATAACAAGTGAGATATTACAAGTTATCACAGTTTCTCAGAATGACTTGGTGCAGACTAGAATATCATGGAAGCATTTTTAGAAGGCTTGGTACATGCAGCATATATTATGTATAATTCTGTGTAATTTGCCTCTAGAGTATGGTACATAGAAACTACATATACATGAATATTATTCCATTTACTAATGCCTAGAATACATTTTAAGAAAAATATACATGTGTCTTTTCTTTAGTAAAATTTAATAAAAAATATCAATAAATAAAATGTATACAATTGAACAAAAGATGTGTGGGAACCACATTTTAGCAACATTTTATGTTTTTGATTTAGATTTTTCAAGATTTCTTCAAAATTCAAGATTAAACATGGAATTTCAATAATTTCAAATTTTGTTGACATTTTAGGTGACAGATACTGTGAGAAGTCTGTGAGAGGGGGTGATGGAAATTAAAAAAAAAAAACTGGTTTTATTAAGAAATCATAGGAATTATTTCAACCTTCGAAAAGCTTGAATAATTTTTCTGTTTTTGAATTCATATTAACATGCCAAGTTTATTTAATCAAAATGTATAATCAACAAACATTTTCTTTAAAAAATTCCATATTATTTATCTGTACAAGTATGGTTACCGTAAAGTGTGAAAGTATTCCTAAATCTTAAATAAAAACATGTACTACATGTACATAAAAAAGGGATATTATTTTACACCTTAAAATAACATACATGGCATACAACACAACCTTTGATACAATTTATCTAACTACTGGTACAAGGTGACAGAAAAGGCATTTTTACTTTCATAAAGTTTCATTTATTCTCAATAACATGTATAAGAGTCAGAAACAGACATTTTCTATAATTTTTTAAGACACTGACTTTCCTGTTTTTGTATTGGGAAACACTACATCACGGATAAGAAATAATTGGAAGTTAATACCAAGATTACCAGCCATTTATTATGGAAGCTACAGGTAATATGCAATCAACAGTCAAAAATCCATGTATAACAAAAACAAAATAACATTAACAAATTTTATATACTTGCATTTTCTGTGTACATAATACAACCATTTTGTAAGATTTCACAACTATAAAGTACAACCTTCTCCTCTCACTTTTTCCTAAAATTGATCAGCTTGACCTATTTTTGACTGAATATCAACATTCATATAAGCTTGTAATATCCCTTCCTGGTTAATTTTTTAAAAATATCACAACTTCCTGTATCATTTACTTCCTGGGTCATGCTGCATCACTTTGTTACGTTTCTTGGGCACTGGTTTCTTCCTGCTATCAACTCTGTCGTATGGATTCTCATCAATATAGTACATTTCATGTGTCTTTTTGTCCACAGGGGGTGAAATGTCTCGGGTTCCACATGACGGAGTGTCCACCAGTGGTTTTTTATTTGCACTTTTGTTTAACTGATCTGCCTTTGCCACTTTAACGAACTGAGAATTTGCATAGATGGCTTCATCTTCTTTTTTCCCATGGGGCTTGCGTTTTAGTGATGATTTTGTCTCATTATTCTGTGGATGATCACTATTCATCACTGAATCATCATTTTTCAATGATACTTCAAGTTCCTTGTTATTTTTGTTATAATTAACATTGTCTGACTTCTTCAAGACTTTATCCTCCACTTGTGTCCCATTAAGATTTCCTGTATATCCCCCCTGCTTCCCGCTTCCCTCCAAACCATTTTTGTCACCCCCATTCCACTTTTTCCCTTTCTCTGCGTGGTTGTCCAGATAATTAACGTTCTCATGAGCCCCACTCCACCTGTTTCCTTTCTCTGCCTTGTTGTTCAGGTAATTCACACTTTCATGAGTCTGCAGATCATATGTGTGTGTGATGTTTCTGTAATGGAGAGGGAAAAAAGTCAGAAATTATAATATCTCATTCAGAACATGTAGTATAAGATAGTTATTAGTGGGTGTACATGTATGTAAATATACTTACATTGTACAGGTAACTATCAACCTACCAACAAATAGCATAACAAATGTACTAGTTCATAGGTATTAATATTAATATGCAGCAGCCTTTTTGCATCTTTTTGTGTCACTCAAAATAGCTAGCATCAATTAACAGCCATCAATTTGACAATATGCAAGTAAAGCCATTAATTGTTCTTGAGAACTCCATTCCTGAGGTTTGATGTTGAAAAAAAAACTTTTAAAGCATATCTTAAAAACAATGTACAGAGAACTGTTATGAACTTTTATTATGTTAAAAATCAACAGACTGAGAATAAAACAAACCAAATTTCAAAGATTAAAATATCGTAAGTTTAGATTCTCCATTATAACATTTTGTATTTATAACTCTGTGCCATTCATTTAGCATATTTCACATCAATCAGATGCAGTGCACATAACTCGGATTTCTATAATGGATAAACTTCATTACCCTAAAAGAGCTGTTCATGCTAGTAACATCTGAGATTTAGGTCACAAAAATGCATTTTTAGATTCTCATCCTAATTTGCAAACAGTATCATGCATTGTAGGGTGGATTTTTTTTACTCTTAAAAATATACCTTAGACTTTCAGTATATCATGTTTTCATGAAACAAATTGCTCAGATTTATCAAATTCATAATGCAAATATGGGTAGTACACTTAATCCCCCCCCCCCCCCCCCCCCCAAATAAAAAATTTCAACAATATACTACTATGATGTGAATGTCTTGACTTTATTTTTGTATACCAATGCTGAGTTTTATTTTCCCCTTAATTTTCTTTGTTTTAATTAATGAATATTTAAAAAATAAAGTGATGCAGACACTTTGAGAGGAGCAAGCAGGGATAAGAATCTAAAAATTAATCTTGTGTGGCCTCAAAAAATTTAATTTAAAAGTTAAAAAAAGAAGAATTATCCCCTTTTTAGAAACTCCAGTTAATGACTCTCAGTGCACACTTGCAGTTTTTACCATTTACAATTATGCACTTTCTGGAAGTCAATAATTTAAAAGCAATTGGTTATGACAATGATAAGGAAATAGCAGATGAAGCAAGATCCTGAACACAGATATTTAAAAAAATTGGTCTTTAGATGAATACATATATCTGCCCTTCAAGTTATTGGAAAGAAGAGAATGCTAATGTTACTCAGAAATATTGCTATGTTTATGTGAGCAGATTATTATATGTTTATACCCTAGATAAATTTTATTTTACATGAACATGTATATATGAAGCAATTTGATGTTTAAAATTTTTATACATGAGAAGAATGTTATCATACTTTTTGCAATTTTCATTACATTCTTGCCTTTCCTCACTCTTTTTTCCAAATAAATGAAATTTAACAGTTAATCTACAAGGCATAATATATGATATATATAAAAGTATATAATTATGAAATACGTTAAGATTAAGAGCCACAAAGTTCTTATTAAAGTTAATATCAAACCAAATACACATTGTGCACATTAACAGGAACCTGTAAAAAAATCCTGCTTTTTAAAAGTTTGTTCCATTATTATATTTTAATGTTAAATTTAATAATTGAAGTGTGTGTTAATGAGGTATACTTTGGTGTCTTCGGCTACACACCTGTTAATTTAAAATTGATTGAATTTCTGAATCATTACATCCACTAAGAAAAGCCAATTAAAAGTCACTTTTAATCACTTTATCTGGAAATATTTTTTGTCGTTAAAAATAATACAATTTATTTATGATTTTTTTCATGATTATTATGATTATCAATAAAATAAAACTGAAATAAATGAAAACTTGGAATAAATTAATTTATTATGTATTTTGTAATAAATAAGTAATGTCAGTATATTTAATGATCACTTCTTGTTTGAACTTACAACATAAAATTTCTTTTGGAATAGAACAAATCACAGTACAATAAGGAAATAAAATCAGTCACTCAAGATTTTACATTGCATACACAAAGTGGGAAATATCACCCTACCTCTAGGAAAAAAAACCTAGAAAATTTCAACAGCTTTCTAGTGATAAATTCCAGAACACAACAGACATGTAAATTATAAAGCTTGAACAATTTGAAAGAATCTGTCATCAAATAGCTGACAAGAAAGACTTTGGAAAAACAATCCAAACCATCATGATGTATAGTTAAAGGAAAGTGGAATGGTCTAGATTTAAAATTAATTTAGCACTGCAAATGGAGCACCATATTTAACAAAATGCACACATAAAAACACCCACCAGCTGGTTCTAATAAAACTACCAGTTTAAATAACTGACTAAACTAAAAGTTTATATTACTGAAGAAGTTTGTACCCCAAAAAATTTCATGTCTCAAGGAATATACCTGTGAAATTTGAAAGCCCTAGCTCCAACTGTTCAAAAGTTATGGTGAAGGTTAAAGTTTTTTTAAAGTAAGTAAAACGTCAACATCAAGGTCAAAGTTGTTGGTATCCAAAGTAAGATCTTGTCACAAGGATTACATATGTGAAGTATGAAAGCCCTAGCACCAACCATTCAAAATTTATGGCCAAAGTTAAAGTTTTTCTAAAGTAGGTCAGACTCCTAGGTCAAGGTCAAAGGGTCAAAGTAGTTGGTATCCAAATGAAGGTCTTGCCACAAGGATTACATATGTGAAGTATGAAAGATCTAGCACCAACCGTTCAAAAGTTATGGCCAAGATTAAAGTTTTTCAAAAGTAGGTCACACTCCAAGATCAAGGTCAAAAGGTCAAAGTTGTTGTTATCCTATGGAAGGTCTTCTCACAAAAAATACACATGTAAAGTTTGAAACCCCAAGCACCAACTGTTCAAAAGTTATGACCAAGGTTAAAGTCTCATAAAATTTTGCAAAAGTGGGTCAAACTCCAAGGTCAAATATGATGGTATCCAAAGGAAGGTCTTGTCACAAGGAATAAACATGTGAAATATGAAAGTCATAGCTTCAACCAATTAAAAGTTATTGGCAAGGTTAAAGATTTTGCAGAGAAAAAGACAGACAGACAGACGGGCGAACAGGGCAAAAACAATATACCCCCAAATCTTCGATACTGGGGCAAAAAAAACCCAAATTTTTATACTGGCCATAAAAATCATTTAAATTAAATTCTCTTTGTATAAACATTTTACATGTAAACATGAAACACACAAACAAAAAGTTTAAAAAATGAACATGATAGCACTGTGATATCTTACATGTACCTGGCTAGTGTCACCTGTAGCACTTTCTATTCTGATTCAAACAATATAAACACAAAGAGGGGGACAACACTGTGTACATTGTCCCAAGTCCTTTTTATGTTTTACATGCAATGCTCAGAGGCTTTTGTATCCAATGATTCAAACCTTCAGAGGCATTACAAATGATATGATTTGGCTGAACTCAGCAAATTATTTTCTTAAGGAACAAGATGTGTTTGTGAAACACTGATGCCCCCGTATGGCAACTTATAGCAAAGGTAGAACTTTCTCAAATGCAAACAAATATGTTGGTACCCAAAGTAAGGTTTTGTCTTGAGGAATAAACATAGCTGTAAAATATGAAAGCCCTAGCAGCAACCATTGAATAGATATGGAAAAGATTAAATTTTTTTTCAAAAGTATGTCAAACATCAAGGTCAAGGTCAAATGGTCAAAATTAATAGTGCCCAAGAAACAATGAGAAAAGGCCTTCTCCCAAAAAATACACAGGTGAAATATGATGGCCAAATCACCAATCCTTCAAAAGTTATGACCAAGGTTAAAGTTTTCCAAAAGTAGGTCAAACTCCAAGGTCAAGGTCAAAGAGTCAAAGTTGTTGGTATCCAAAAAAAGTTCTTGTCACAAGGACTACCAAGGATTACATATGTGAAGGATGAAAGCCCTAGCACCAACTGTTCAAAAGTTATGGTCAAGGTTAAAGCTTTCCAAAAGTAGGACAAACTCCAGTGTCAGGGTCAATGGGTCAAACTTGTTGGAATCCAAAGAAAGGTCTTCTCACAAGGATACACATGTGAAAAATGAAAGTCCTAGCCCTAATTGTTCAAAAGTTATGCCCAAGGTTAAAGTTTTCCAAAAGTAAGTCAAACTCCAAGGTGAAGGTCAAAGTTGTTGGAATCCTAAGAAAGGTCTTGTCACAAGGATTAAGTATGTGAGGTATGAAAGCCCTAGCACCAACTATTCAAAAGTTATGGCCAAGGTTAAAGTTTTTCAAAAGTAGATCAAACTCCAAGGTCAAGGTCAAAGGGTCAAAGTTGTTGGCATCCAAAGAAAGGTCTTGATACAAGGATTACACATATGAAATATGAAAGCCCTGGTACCAACCATTCAAAAGTTACGGCCAAGGTTAAAGATTTTCAAAAGTAGGTCAAACTCCTAGGTGAAGGTCAAAAGGTCAAAGTTGTTGGCATCCAAAGGAAGGTCTTGTCACAAGGATTACCCCTGTGAAGTATTAAAGCCCTAGCACCAATTGTTCAAAAGTTATGGCCAAGATTAAAGTTTGGTAAGGTTTTCCAAAAGTAGGTCAAACTCCAAGGTCAAGGTCAAAAGGTCAAATATGGTGGTACCCAAAGAAAGGTCTTGTCACAAGTAATACACATGTGAAATATGAAAGCCATTGCTCCAACCAATCAAAAGTTATGGACAAGGTTACAGTTTTTGCGGACAAACAGATAGACAGACGGACGGACAGGGCAAAAACTATATACCCCCGAATCTTCGATACGGGGGCATGAAAATATAATATTATGTTAGATGGATAATATGACAATATAAGAGAGGGGGGATAGAACTTCTGCAAAGCTCTGGATGGTTACATGTAGTATTAGACAGTCCCAGGAAGGGGAAAACTTTTGGTCATAAATTACTAGCAAAGATATATGTGTACCTATCATACAAGTAATCCAATTACATCTAGCTAATGTAGATAGTTTAACATATTGCTCATAAAAAAGGTATTAGTTTCTGGTTAATACAAAATATGAAATATTTTGAATAAGAGGTTTTCATACAATTGATTGATTTATTACAAATTAAGTAGATTCTATTTAATTTGGCTCTTTTTAAAAACTGTCAACGGTTTAATTTTGTTTTGAGGCAACAAAGCTCAACTTTTTTCTGCTTCAATTTTTTTGGTCTCAATGTCAGACACACTCCTGCTCAGGTGAGTTTAAGCGGGATTCATAGCCGCTGTCAACAGACATCTGGTTTTGAATCGAACACTTGCCATCACCAGCAATGTTTGAGTTCAACTTAATGTCAAACTGAGATTTTGTACTCAATGATTCCTCAGTCTTAGGTGTCTTTGTGTTATGCACACTCTCAGTGTCTGAACCACTCGAAGGTTTCTCATAGTTGGGATCTTTTTCTCTCTGATAGATGTCCGACTCCAATTTCTCTTCCGTTGTAGGTTTGGACATTGCCTGATGAAAGCATGTCTCATTTTCAGACACAATCATGTCAGCTTCAGTATCTGAATCCTGTTCTTTCTGATTTGTGCCTGACTTTATTGTACTACCTTCCTGACTGAAATCATTGTCTGTCTGTGTGTCAGGGTTATAACTCAGTGTGAAGCTGACATTACCAGAGTTTTCAAACAAATCCAGTTTAACATCATTACATTCTACTGCAGTATTTGAATATTCCTCTTCTGTGTGTGCTGATGGTTCATCAATCAGCTGGGCTGTAGAAGAATGCTTAAAATCTTTTTCGTTATTTGAGACCTGCTTATGGTAGACCACTCCATCAATCCTGCTATTGGGCTGAATTTGTCCCACGCTACTCTCAGATTTTTTACTCTCCACAGAAGATAATGATGCTTTCCTAAAATATAGCAACACTCAACAGCTACTAAGAACCACATACAATACAGACAGAGCCTTGAAAATTCATTTTAAAAACTGATTTATGAATCACTGTACTTGAAGCTATTATAATTACAACACAATATTCATCAATTCTATTAAATTTTTTTGCACAGAGATGAAAACATTCACAAGCCAGGGGAAAACCGCAAAAAAAAAAAAATAAAAAAAAAAAAAAAATAAATAAATAAATAAATAAATAAAAATAAAATAAAACATCTGTGTATGAAATAACTCAAAATAAATGAGTTCAAGAAGGAACCTGCTAAAGAGAAAATAAAGTCCAAAAAGTATAAGAGAAGACAAAGTTAAAGAAATTACCCAAACGTACACGAATAAAAAAAATAAAAGGACATTGCACGTGCTGGAGAAATATCACCCATGAAGATTGATAATGATCTTCATATGCACCTATTAAAATAATAATACTTCGAAAAAAATAGTTATTAATGACATTGTTCGGTAAATATGGCATACTCCAAAGACAGAAAAATTGATCATGCTTGCCATATAAAGTAAGATAAGAGGGGGAAATGTATGCTTGATAAATATAATTTAATAGTCACAAGAATAATAGATTTTAATTGTTGGATTTAAGCACACCTATATACGGGTGTCTCTGATACAGTTAAGTCAGTTCATGCAGGTAGAGATCTACCTATTCCTGTGTCTTTGAAGATCATTCCAAAAGAAACACTGTGATAGATTTTGATACATCACCGACTTTCTAAACCTTTGAAACAAAAATCAAATAAAAATTGAAAAAAGAAAAAAAAGACACCAAGATAGCATTATTAACTAAAATTGAAGACAGAAATAATATTTGTGAATCTCTGCTTACATCTACACAAAACTCAATTTAATATCACCACAATATTAAATCATACACTAAGTTAACTACAATCCATACCCAATAATTACTTAAAATCCAACCACAAAGGTTATCTGACAGCGAAACACAGCTGCAGTTAAGTACCATTCACTCCAAAGTAAACTACAATCCAAACCCAAGAGTTAACTACAATCCAATTCAAACAGTACCCACCAATCAAAATCATCTGGTAACTATAAAGGCAATTCCAACAGTTAATCACAATCTGACCTCAACACTTCACTTCTCTTTTAAAATTTCAAAAATGTAAAATTTTTCAACTCAAAACTTATTTACATCCTTATTTGTACATCTTAAACAAGAAGTCACTGAATGCATTCTGTGTGATTATATGTTTCAAATAACTTTGACTTGTGCATTGAAAATTAAAATCTACTAGTATATGCAACCTTTAAAATCTAAAAAAATGAAATTCATTTAATAAACAATAGATGTGTCTGTGTGACAGGAATGTCCACGATCACAGTCATGAAAGTTTATGTCAAAGGATGTAAAAATAATGATGAATGAACATGAAACAGAAACAGAATGTCATATACTGCTGCCTTTGTTTCTTGAGTCAGTTGTCCATAGCACAAACATACTTTAGCAGCATAAAATTTTTATCAACCACAAAGTTAACACAGAAAAAATAAATCTTGGAAACAGAGAATAATTAGATAATTGTCTAAGGACAGTAACTTTTGTGAAAATGGGATGTTAGTCAATAAGAAACTATAAAATGATCTGTAGGTCATCAATATAGAGACACATTCTAAAAATCAGCTCACTATTTATGAAACCACATCAAATTAGTCCTTAAAAAAGAATGTTTTGAAATTTTCAAATTTTAAGGGAATAACTTTCATAAAAATGGACCAATCAACATGAAACTCTTGGCCATAGGAACTGGGAGGGCCATGCCCCCCAATAATTTTGCCGATATATAGAATACTACAGAAAACATAGCTCCACTACAGTATATGCTTGTGCCTCCTCAATAATGTCTGATGACCTTTTTTTTTTACTTATCAAGGAACTTTTGAATTTTTGGTGGTGTCCCCCAACTGAAAATGTTTGGTTGTCCCCTTAACTTGAAACTTATCTGTACATCATTAATATAAAGGGACACACCAAAAATCTGCTCATCATTAACAAGCACATCAAAAAGTCTGCAAAACTAACTATAAAGGAATGACAACAATGGAATGATGGGCAGAAAAGATCAGTGACAATATATGCCTCAAGCATTTCATGATGGAGGCATAAAAACACTTGGCAATGATATCTTTTTCAGCCAGACATTTAAGTTTATGAATAAATCATGAACAACAAACTAATTTACGATCAATCATAAAATTTGTGAATACCTACCCTGCCTTTCCTTTCTTCTTGTACATATAAACTCCTACTGCAATTATAGCTATTACAAAGGCAAGAATGATCACAATCACAACAGGGACTATCCAACCATCAGAATCTGCGGAGGCTGAAATAATATATTATCATAGAATTACAAGTTTGTTTACTGATCAACAAATACTTCTTATAGTTTTACAATATTCAGCTTTATCAGACTGTTCTATTTTCATACTTTTTACATGATTTCAGGAACAATTACAACATTTTAATGATAAGTTTTTAATATACTCTGGATTTTTTTAAAATACAAATTCTATCATTCAACAAAATAACTGGTATGTAATTCAGAACACAGTAAGCAAAAGACAGCAAACACTGGTTTACAGCAAACCTCATCATTACAGTCCCAGTGCCACATTGCTCACCTGATCAAATCATCTGATCAAATAAGTATACATTCAGGAAGAAGGAATCACAAAGGGAAACTCCCAAACAAAAAGTATAGAATCCTTCTGACAAGTTTTGTTTACAATAAATAATGATGCTTGTGTATTTATACCGTCTTCAAAGAGCTAGGTTCACTTTGTGCATAAAATGGCTCTGCGTGTCCTTATATCAATTAACTGACTATCACCCTCTGTCCCATTTCATATATCAAAATAAAGTAGAGACTTAGTGCTTTCATTTCCTATAACAAAATTTCTTTTTGAGAATCCAGGTATTGGAAAACAGGCTTTGAGAAAATGCAATGTTCTTGAATTTTGCAGAAAACATGCGTATTTGACTACCTTCAGCAAAGAATTAAAATATGAGCACAGCCCACGATCCAAAAATTAAAACATGTTTTGTGATCTTCAGAAACAGATCTTTCATTATGTAATTGCATATTTTGGATCAGAGGTTGTGCTCTATATGAAATATATATAAAAATACCTCAATTTTTGGCCATTTTTAAGGGAATTTACAGGATACGGGAAAAATGATGCATTTTATGACTTCATAATGCATTGACCATAGAGAAAATTACATCATGTTTAATAGATACACGGTCACCAAGGGTCCAAGTTAAAAATACTGCATTTTCAACCAAAACTGAGCAGTTTCAAAACTGAGCAGAAATTCTCAGGGCCAAATCAGGCCCCAAGTGGCTCTTGCTCTTTTTTACAAGCATTCTTTTTTAAACTTTTAAACCCCCATAAGGGCCATGTTGCTGCTCTATTGGTAGCGTTTTTTTTTTTTTTATAATTATTTATACTGATGATAACAATGCTTTTATATAAATTTAAGAAAGTATAGCCTTCTTGCATGCTCAAAAGAGTAAAATGTATAGATTAGTCAGATATGCGTAATATTCTTGTGGAAACTTTTAAACCTTACCACATCCCAATTCTTGCTCAAAAACAAGAAAAAAAAATCTTCATAGAGACCATTCTTTTTCATATTGATTTTAATTCATTAAAACAAAAGTGAACCTCTTTAAAATAAAATATGGAAACAAAAAAGATGAAGGACAAAATAATTTTCATCAGAGACAATCGTTTTAATTTTAATAGTCTAGATTGAACCAAGAAATAAAGTGAAAAAATTTAACCACAGCTGTAATGTAATTTTAGCAAATCATGATTCATAGCTAAAGCAAACTTTGATTACAAACACAATGCCACAAACAGCAACCAATGGTTATAACAAAGTAAGCTGTATAAAACCATCAGGATACAAAAACACAGAGATAAACATGACTATTAAAGGTTTTTAAACAAACAAAAACTTTTGAAGAACTAGCATGTTTTTGGTTTAAAGACAGCTAAACAGACAGATGGTCACGGTACTGAAAATGATGACAGTAAACATATGCTATGATAACACAATGGTGCTGGTCCTATCAAATTTGTAGAAGCTTACCTAGCTACTAAGTGATAGCAAGATATGTAGACCTTTTGAATGGAGAGCTACATGTAGGTATCAGACTTCAGATACAAATATCTCAGTAATAATTAATTTTAAGAACAAAATTAGGGAAATTCTAGTGAAATTGTTATCTGATCTTAGAAACCAGCACCAGTTTATAAGTATATTGCAAACTTGGATATATAGTACCTAATATCAAATATTCATACTAGCTTTCCCTTAAGTAAGTGGTTTAAGCTAGCATATCATTCAAAATAGTAGATGAACAATTTTGTTTTTATTTTACAGTTGATGTAAATATAATAACCATCTTTGATTTGTCACAGCTTTAATTGCCACCCATATTAATCTGAATTCTAACACTGAATGTAAGTATGCAAACATGAGTTTTCTTTCTTTCTTTATCGCAAACAAATGCCATCTTTATTTACCTTTTCCATCTCAATACCTAATAGATTCATGCGTCTTTACTAAAGGACACATCTTTTCCTGCAAGTTTCATTGAATTCCACTCACTGAACTCTTTGAGACATTTTAAATTAAGACCAACAGAATTGAACAGCTAGATTATCATTATTTCCACTGTTTAAAATTTTTCCTTTTTTGTACTTCTCAGTATGACCTACTGCAATTGATAATTCAAGCTACGTACATTACATATAATGTTATACTGTAATGTACAATACACTGAATATTTAACAATCATGGGTCCCAAGAGGCATAAAAAACTGTAAACCAACTATTATTTGTGACAACACTTATTCATGATTTGTCATTTTGAAATCTATAGTGAAATAAATAGTTTGTGGTGAGAAATATTTCTGATTAAAATAAAAGTCGCAAAACTTTTAAAATTTCTAACACACAAATAAAAGTTGGATTACAGAAGTTATATAAAACTTTATTCATAAGTGTCCTGTTTAAAACTGTACATAAAAAGCAGCATAAAACATCCTATTAACAATATATTATGTATCTTATATGTATCTTACAAAAATGTCTATCTAGATCTATTAGAATCTATGAAAAGGGGAATATACAACTCAATTTTCTTTTTAACTTGTATAAAAACAGAAAATTGAGTTATTTCCCTTTTGAATATGATGGCCTTACATTACATGTAATAAATGTAGAAACTGAATTTTTATGCATATAAATATAATTTTTCCCCTTCTCCAATAATACAATCATGCATGTTGATGTTAATAACTTTCAGCAAACATAAATTCAAGGCCCCTTTCACAACTTCCCTATGACTTATATTCACTGATAAAATTGTCTAGTTAGGCCAATTCTTTAAAATAATGTTTGTTTGCCCTCTTCTGCCTCAGGATGAAAAAAATTGGATCAGTTACGGTAGATGGGAAATTTTTTTCCCCTAGAAAATGTCAACATCAATGCTGAATTTTCAAAATTTAATCAACTAAAATTAAAGGTGTTAAAAAAAATTAAAAATACATTTCAGGATGAATAAAAATATAACTGTTTCTCAGAAATTAAAATATTTTTAAGTTGGACCATTTTTAGCCAGTCGGTTGGGAGAATGCAAACAAACATTTTTTTTAAAGGTGGCCTTAGCTTTTTTTTTTTTTAATTTCAGAGTGAGAAAAAATGCCACCTTTCCATAATAAAAACCATGGGGAATTAAAATGACTAGATGCATGGGTGTTAAGTAATGTTTGGACAAATTGATGGACAGTCTCTACATTAATACTTGTACCATGCCATTTCAAAGATTGGAATTTCATTCAGCAAGATTTTTCTTACAACATAGCATCTGTCGATACAAACATTACAGTAAAATAATTAACTTCACCCACCAAAAATGCCTCATGCATGATAGTCACGGTGCTCTTTTTTATGGGGATGAGTAATCTCAAGCCAGTGACAGATTTAGTAGAGTGAATCCCTCCCCCTCCCTTCAAAAATAATGAACATTAAGAATAACAAAGTATTGACATTAAGAATTACAAAGTATTGACAAAGCTATTGCTATTAAATGCAAATGAAACTACAAGTATTTAAGTTTCCATTGTCATTTAACTTCTTTAAAAGGTCCCCCCCCCCCCCCCCAACACACACACACTCCCCGACAAGAAATCCGAATATTTCCTGAAAGCTTCTTTTACCCTTCTCCAATTTGCCCACAAATCATCCCAATACACACACTTTTAAACATGTTAAACTTTATTCATTAATATAGAGAAATATGGCAAACTCCTATCGAGAGTCCTGATCTTGGTCTAAATTAAGGCAAATGGACCAAAGAAATTAAAAAAAAAATCCCCAAATAAAAAGATTGATCCCCCCTATACAGTGTTACATTCCGGCCAATAACAGTGTATCCATAATACAAGTATATATAACATGCAGTTTCTTACAGCTGCTTAATATGGAGGTGGGCGGGACTAGGGTGTCATTTTGTAAGGATGTAATATTTGTAAAATCTGTCGTCACATCCTTCAAAGTCGTGACCCTGGGAACAACTGTCGTCTGGGCAGTGGTGCTAGCTGCAAGCAAGAAATTGTTTAAAGCAAAAAATTTTAGATAAAGAGAAATAAATAATTTTCTACGTACTCTAAAAATATTTGGTTAAAAAAATCCTCAAAGGACAAATAAAATAGTCAGAGTACACAGTAAAAAAAAATTAAAATAAAGACAGGTGCCCAGTGCCCATGAGTTTTGAATACTGTTGATATAGGTATCTGATATATTTACAGGTTTATGCCTTTGGGACTAAAATAGAAGAACACAAGGGGAGTAACTCTTGTTGCACTAGTTTATGATACTTACATGTCTTGGAATATACTGGAACATATGTTTTGTTTCCACATAATTCTGGAATTAAAAATAAAAAAAAAAGATTATAAAGATAAATCTTAATATTAATATCTTCAATATTTACATTCAGGGATGTAGGGAGGGGAAAGGGGGGATGGCAGTCAGAAAGTTAATTACAGCTGGACAACAACTGGAAAGATCATCTCCATGTTGACCAACTTGCTATGAGTTTGATCAAGATATTCCATGTATGTTTATTATCATGTAATGAATGACTTTAAAAAATTGAAAATAGCATTCATCAAATAGCCACTTCTTTATTCAATGTTTTTTTTTTTTTGATGCAAAATATGTACCATCAAGTAAACCATTGTCTGACAAGTGATAATTTGTAGAAGAATTTAAGTAATATTTGTTTGAACAAGTATATCACACTGACAAGTTAAAAAGTGAATTTAAATGTAGAACATAATTAAAATGAAATAACTTCCAAGGCATCATGAAAATTTTTATTCATACATTTAAACACAGGCATATACAGAAATAATGGGTGTCTGATTTTTTTTTTTATGTGAATAGACATTTAGATTCAGGTGCTTTGGTTGAGAATTTATGTTTGTATGTACCTGTACAATGGCAATAAAAAAATGAATTAACTTTAATAAACAGGGAGAATTAGTGAGAACTTTATATGAGTTCAGAGAACTCTGATGTAATATGTAATGGCTGTTACTGACAAGCAGCCAATAACTACTCAGTTTGCTTTTGAATTCTGTGTCTCTCTGCCAAGATACACAGTGTGATTATGTAAACAATTCTGACTAGATAATTATTTTTTCTTCAAGTGTCTGATCAGTCATTCACCATTCACATACAAAAAAATGGCTCAAGTATCTAATCAAGGGGGATACTGAACTTATAAGCATTACCATCAGCATCATAAAGCACTGCAGCAAAAATAACAACTTATCTTGAAAGTAGTGAAACATGCACAAAGAATTCAAACAAAGAACATAGTTTCCTGTATGCAAATTGCTTTGTCTCTTAATCAAGACTGTAATTAGAATTCAAATATTGGTATTACCAGTATATTATATGAAGTGGAAAGGATAAAGAAAAAAAGGAGCCATGAAATAAAAAATAACATCCAAGTATTACTGAGATATAGAAAGAAACAAAAAAAACTGACCTTTAAAACAGTCATAAATTTTACCATAAAACACCCTTAAGCTTACCACAATTTGGTTGCATTATCTTCCCTATGTCAAATCTCAGATAAATCTATAGTTGTACATGTACCCTAAGGGACTGCATTACAACAAACCCAGTACAAATATATACACAATCTCTCTGTCAGCTACAGCAGACAATGATGAATGTCAATTGTCATTTTATAAATCAGCATGCCTGCGCTACCTTGCACAGGTGAGGAAATTCTCCTAAATGACAAAGTTTGACATTCAAACATGCAGGAGAGAAAACGTTTTCTTGTTTAAAATGGAAATGTGTATCTGTTTGTTTTGGTTTGGCCTAAAACAGATTTTTTATGACTTTTCTGACATGACCTGTGTTTACCTGTATTCCTGACCTGTATCAAACACAAATGCTGAATCTTTTCATGTAGTATAATAATATACAGCTATAGCAATGGCTTTATTATTGCAAACAGAATTTTTTCCCATAGATATATATATATATATATATATATATATATATATATATATATATATATATATATATATATATATATATATTATATATACATATATATATATATATATATATATATATATATATATATATTACATTTTCAACAGTGAAATACTGTGATTTATTTATTGAATAAAAGTGATATTCTCTCACAGTGTGAAAGGATATCAAAGTAAGTAAAAAAAAATTTCTGCCTGTAATAAGATAGAGATAGTAACATCTTGATAGAGCTAAAACTGCAAATTTCTTCCCAAATATGTTGCTAAAATCCATGCTATGTAACGTTTTCAATCACACAACTGCTAAGCTATGACGTCTCAACCACTCAACTATGACGTCAAGCCTATGACACTATGTTAAGAAAAGACAGAGGCAAAGGGAAAATCAAAGAAAATGTAATAAACAGAAAATTCAATGTTTTGTAGATGAATATGGAATTTATTTCACTCGTGAGACAGGATTTTTTGATATTTTCACTCGTGCTTCGCACTCGTGAAAATATAAAAAAAATCCTGTCCCACTCGTGAAATAAATTCCATATTCATCTACAAAACATTGAATATCCTCTATTTATATATATATATATATATATATATATATATATATATATATATATATATATATATATATATATATATACTTTTGCAATTAACACTATTTGATCAAAGTATATACATCACTTCACTGTATAGATCACAAATTCACTGTAATGTCATAAATGGAGGATATAATTTCTCAATGACATCATAAAGGATAGATGCATGAGGCATCCATGCCCCCCCCCCCCCCCCTTTCAACATGGGCATGCATCAGCTACTTATGACAGTGTCCACGAGTAGTTATACAATCTATATCTATGATGTATAACATTGTTATCCACTAATGGTATTAAACTGGATTTAATTAAGTTTAAATGAAATAAGGTAACTATCATTTGAATAATCAGGATATAAATTCGGGTTGGTCACATGAAGCCCAAAGGGGGCTCTATGATAGATTTGATTAACAACCCCGGCAACCTGTTTTATCCTTATGAATATTAAAAAAATGACATCACTTAAATTTACATTTGTAACTAATTTGTAATAAATATTTCCTTATTATCTGTCTTTCAATATCGCTGCCAGTACTTTTACCATGTTACCTGGCTGAAATCAGGGGCGCGTTTCACAAAACTATCTTAAGATTTGTCATAAGACAGATCTTAAGACAATCTTAAGATCTGACTTACGACAATCATAAGATCTGTCACAGCTGTTTCACAAAACTATCTTAAGTAGTAGAAATCTTAAGACAAGTCTTAAGATATATCTCATGCTACAATTTTATAGGAAATTGTATAAAAAATTAAAATAAAAATATTCTTGCTAGAAGTTAAGTTTTCTTCCAATCAAATCACTGGTATGTTATTTTTTTTTTTTTTCTTAATTTTGTTTTTAAAAAAGTGTATCTTAAATATTGTAAAGGAGTTAAACGCTCGAAAATAAAATTTCAATGTACCAAATACATGTACAATGTTCAAATTTTTGGTGGGGCGGGGGATGTAGGAGCAGAGTCAATAATGCTAATTGTGCCATGATTATGTATGAATTAATTGGAATGAGAAAATTGTGTGACAAAAAGTATTTTAAAAATGGGTGTGTTTGTTGATAAAATAAAAGTTAATTATGTTTCATTTGAATTGTTAAATATTTAATATGAATTTACTTTAAATTTGATCCACCACCCCATTTGCGCTTGTACGAAATGAATGGTATTCAAATGCATTCATCTGTGGCCACAAAACGGGTACTAAGTCCGTGCGCTCAGAAAAAATTCTAGTAAGAAAATGTCTCTGAAAAGATGCCCAACTTTTAGCTCTGCTGAGATACCTGTGTTAACAGACGAAGTGGAGAGAGGAAAAGACATTCTATTTTCCAGGCGAAATTCAACAGTTTCCAATTCTTTGAAGAGGGAAACTTGGAACAAAATAGCCACCAAGGTAAATGCTGTAAATACTACAGATCACATCAGGTCCGGAGAAGAAATGAAAAAGAATTGGACCTGCTTAAGCAGCGAAAGCAGATAGAAGTTGGCACTAAACAGGAGGGAGCAAAAAAAGACAGGGGGAGGATCCTTGCCATCAGCAGCTGATCAGGGGCCGCCTTAAGACCAATAGATGAGAAAATAGAAGGTATCATCGGGGAAACGTCAATTTCGGGAATTGAGGGGGGCATTGACGTTTTAGAGACAGAGTCGGCCAGGGAAACGTCACCAAGCAAGAGCACAGATGCTGTAAATGGTAGGTGTAAGGGTGATTCTCATTAGACTTAATTCCCGGTGAAAGGGGGGTGTTCCTAAAACTACTTAGTCTATTTCACCAATCCTGTAAATAGTGAATAATAAATAGCACTGAAGTGAGATGTCTTACAAAGGTACGAGAGGATACATAGTGTTTGATTTTTTTTCTACAGAGGTGGGTATGCTCCACACTATAAAGAAAGTCGTATGCAACTTTTAGTGATAATTTTTTGTCTGATATTTCGTAGTTTTATTAATTCTTCATACAATTATTTAGCATGAAGAGAAAACAAATATCTCGTTTATTCACCATTTTATAATACTCCATGTAAATTTTGAAATTGAGATAAAATAACAAAATTACTGTTTTAATATATTTTACGAAAAAAAAAGTTTCGCGATTTTGTTTACATGAATTTCGTATTTCTGGTTGTATAATATGAATTTTGTTTACAGAAAAAAAGATTTCCCGATGTAGAGCCAGCAAAGAAACGCTCAAAGAATTTACGTTATACTTGTAATGATGACATAACATTGAGACTAGTTGCAACAGAGGAAGAGAGGCTGGTTGTTGGGGAAAAAGGTTAGAAATGGAGAAAAAACGACTGAAAGTTGAAGAACGGCGACTTGAAATTGCAGAGCAGCAACTACAAATACAACGTGAACAACATACTTTTCACCTCTGTCAGCTTGGGATAGTTCGTGACGCTACAGTAACAGTCAATACCCCCTCTGAAAATGAATAAAACCTGTAGAAATGTGTTCAATTTACTACATGTTATTTATTTTTGTGCTCATTACAATCACAACAATCTTGATACAGAGCAAATTCACAATCGCTATGGGTGATGTTCAAAAGTTGTTTCATTGAAATTTGGTGATAAAAATTATTTGATCGAGGGTATAATTAATAACAATTATTGTATGTAAGCAGCTGCTGCATAATAGAATTTTAATGTTGAAAGTTGTGGGTCAAGGGACCAACCTTGTAGATGGATTTTACTTTTGTTCTCGATAACTTGAACACTTTATTATTTTACTATGAGCATTGGAAAATTGGACATCAA